GCCCGGCGGAGGCCGAGAGCGCGGGCCGGACACCTGCTGACACCGTCCTGCCGTTCTCTGGGGCTGCGCTCACGCCCGGGAGAGGCGGCCCAGCTTCTTCCCTCCTTGTTTAAAACGACTTTTTATTTTTTAAAAAACCGTGCGCACAGTTTTAAGTCTCCCTAAACTCCCTTCCCAGAACCGCTCTGCGCCGACCAAGTTGACGCGTAACAAACTTTGTTTTCCGCCCACGCTCTGACCACTGCGCTAAGCAGTCTTGCACTTGATCTCCAGAGCAGCTCGCAGCCGGGAGGCTCGCGCAGAATGGAAGTGGCTGGGTGGAGGTTTGCTTCTGACTGCCAAGCGGGCGACGCCGAGGGCACCGGGCGGGCGCCCCGGCTCTGGAGGCCCAGAGGCTTCCTGGGGCTGGGTCCTGTTTTCTCTCTCTGGCTCTCACAACGGTGGCTGAAGTACTTGTATATGGATATTTTGAAAAATACAAACGTAACAATGTTTATTGATTTTAATTCTAGAACCTGTCATATATATTTAATATCTCTGGCTGCTAACCCAGCAGCTTAGATTTACTTTGAAAGGGTGAGCATTTTATCGTCTCCGGTGTCTCAGCTGCTATTCCAGGAGACTGAAAGTTAATCGAAAGTGGAGATTTTGCCTTTAACCACTTCTCTTTTTCCCAGTTAATGCAGCGTCCAGCTCAAGTAAATGTTCAATAAATATCTGTTGGTTGTGTAAAAAGTCCTGTATCTTCTCTGTTCTAATAGTCTTATTAATGTGCTTGAGGAAAAAAAATAAAATATTATGGATACTTACTGAAGTTATTAATGGTGAACAATCGGAAATACTTAAATAACCAAAAGTAATGATTATGCATGTTATGGCAGCCATTTAAAATGACCATGTAAACCTGGTTTTATCAATATAGTTCATGATACTAAAACAAATTACCTTTGTAATTGAAGTACAAAACTTAAAATTGCACTATACAATATGTTATATGGACATAGGAAGTAGAAAAAAAGTCACAGAAGATATAGTTCAAAATGTTAGCGGATTTTCTCCCCTCAGTATGAGGTGCACATGCACGGATTTGTTCTTGTCTCTACCTTTTAAATATCCTGTAGTTAATATGTGTCCTTTGTAAAATAAGTACAGGTTTTAAAAAGAAACAGCATAATCAGGAAAATAAAAGAGAAATCCTGTTTCTTTAAAGTTCTACCCGCTGTCTATATATTCCAGGTACTTTTTTTGACAGATCTGCTTTCAGTTATCTGCTGCTACTACTGCACATAGATGTAAGAGTATAATATAATCACATTTCATTAAAAGAAATGTCTCCTGACACTAGTAGTGGTTTTAAGAACACACTACAAACTTACTCCCTCTTTTGTAGCTTTCAAGTCTTGGAGCAAATTATCTTAGTTTCTTCCTAAGACAAAAAACAAACAACAACAACAACAAAAAAAAAACACAAGACTTGTGGTCTGACCAGGACATTTTAAATTTTATGTTTAATCCCTTCCTGTATCTTACCACATTCCACCATTACGGAAGAGTAGAAATCAGTCTAAGGAAATTTCACCAGATGGTTAATAATTGTAATTTTCAATCAATCCTAAAAAAAGAACAAAACAACAGCAAAAAACACCTTTTTTTTAAATTAACTACTTCCTAACACAATTTAACTTCATTTTCTCATTCATTCTTTATTGAAAGTTGAGTGCAACTGATCCACTTTTACTTGGAGTACTTAATTAAGGGCCTGATTTCAGTTAGTCTTTTGTCTTCATAACTATATGTTATCATTTAAAGACCATTACTCAATTACTTCATCTCTTGCAGGAAGGAAAAAAAATCATGTTTTTTCAATCTTGCAATGAAATTAGTTTTTCCTTTGTTACTATTTAAGTCTTTTGAGTGGTTCTTCACATTTGCTCTTACAGTGAGTGGCATTTCTGATAAAAAGAACAAGCTCTTAGAAGTTTGAAATGACACTCAGCTAAGAATCAGGAGTTCAGGTAAATTATAGTAATGAATACATTTCACAATGTTGTGTTTGCTTTTTAAAGGATAACAGTATATCATTGATCCCACTCAGCTTGTTAGTTGCTAAATTCCCTGTTCTCTTGTGTAATACTTGCTGCTTTGTAGCTAGTCATTCCTTCTTTTGAAACTTGGTATTTTTCCCTTGCTTGTTTTAGCCCACCCAAATGACTTACTCATTTTGTTTACTTCTTACTTCTTCTCCAATTTTATTTTTATTCTAATCTGGTCATTGAGAATGTGACTTCCTCTTCTTAGTTTTCATTTCCCAAATAAGTTTCGTTTGCTGTGTCAATGATTCTTTTTTCTGGTAGTATTAGTCATTGATAAAAAATGTTATATGTGATTGTGTCCAAGACCGCACCTCTAAATGATAACTGATTTTGAAGATACAAGGACTCCATTGATAGTCACCATCAGGATTCAGTTCTCTTTCCTGTTACATGCAGTTAATAATTTTAGTCTATAAACCATATTTTATTACTTTTAGATACTGTTGTAATGGTGAACAGAAACTAAAGCCTTGCCAAAAAACTTTCCCTTTAATCATCTCTCTGCTTCATTACATAGGCCATATGAAGATAGAACAAGTTGAAAAACCACAGAATTTGGTTAGAATGTTTCTTGGTAACTTCTCTTTGTAGTTAAACCACATGCTTAAAAATCCAGATAAAGGCCATGAAAATGATAAGCAATGGACTAAATGAAACAAATGTCATTATCTCACATAGAGCTGGTTATAGAGATCCATCCTTGGCAACAACAGAACGCAGTCTTGTAGTCTTATTTCTTTAAATTTCATTCTGTACCAAAACCTCGTTTAAACTTCATATAAACAATTCCATAAGGTGTAAAGGAAACAATTTTAAATGAAGAATGAACCTGAATTTATGGCAAAGGAAGATGTAAGTGTGTGTGTATAATCTAGAAATGTATACACTAAAATTTCAACTGTAATTATGCCTGGTGGTTGTTTTTTTCCCTTTCTTTTTCTGATTTTACATGTGTTAAAACAAATTTTTATTTGTGTAAACTTCTTTAAGAGAAATAGAGGCATTTTGTTGGCTATTTTAAAACTCAATGATAAACAATTACTATAATAATTAGTTAAGCAATGAACCTATCAAAATTGTTTGTGTTTCTCTTCATTAAAAAAGAACATTTGCACATGTACCCCAGTACACCTATGCTTCTGTGTTAAAATTTAAAACATAAAGATGAAATAAAAATTGTTAAAAATTATTACTAGTGGCATAAATAAGAGCAGGAGTGGATATATTTCCTTTTTAAAATATTTCTCCTTAAACACTGTAATACAACAATTCAAAATTCTAGTTCTAAAAAGAGTTTATTTCAATATTGGGATTTAATGACCACACCTCGCAATATTTAAAGCTAAAACTTGAAACCTGTTATATTTGTTGTAATTTCTAACTATCACACTTGTTTTACCGTTCCATCCATCATTTATACAAAGGTTTTAAAAACATAATTTCACTAATAAATGTCCATCTCTCCTAATGTGTACAAGTTTCCTCAGCAAACTAGAAATTTTCAGCAAGAGGCTACAAAAGTTTCAAAACCATTCATCTGAAAGTTATTTAAGTAAGTTAAAAACCTCTTATTTCTGTGATTTTAAAACGTGCAAATGTGCAATTTTTATATGTGACATGTTTATTTCTAATTATTTTCAGAAAAATTACAAAGCTATGAAACATTTTCAACTATTTTCTACATACTCTTCTCCTAGCTTTTTTTTAAGTAATAATGTTTTTAGTTATTGTTATAGTATTTACCTTGAAGGGAAAGAGATTTAATTTGTAAAAATATATCTGATAAATAACATGCTACTGGAAAAAAGCCTGCTACTAAATAAATATCAAACATTTGCATGATACAAAAGATTCTTATAGTAATTCCTCTTCTCATTTCAAAGTATAAGAAATTAAAACAGTTTTCAAAGTCTTATTCATACAAAATTATCATATGTACAACTGTCTATATTTTTATTTAAATCTTTAAAAATTTTTCACTTACAGGATCTGTCATCAATTTCCATAAAACATTGCTCTTGTTAAGGAAGTTGTTTACTAATAAAAATATATGTTCTTTGGTTTTTTGTTTTGTTTTCAGTTTGATGCACAGGAAAATAGTAGTTTTCTGTGTCTGGCAGTACTGAGCAGAATTTAGGAAACACTATAAGCTGAGACAAGTTTAGAAGCACCTCTGTGCTTCCACCCAACTGCACATAATTCCTGTGTTCAAGTATTTTTTTTTTCAAATAGTCAGCTTTGTTTTTCTTTATTTTCCTGTCTTGTTTTACCAATGGTACTGTATTTTAGTTTTGTCAACATATCATTTTTATTTTGTTTTTAGCCACTTTTCCCATAACATGAAATACCATTGTATTCCCCACTGGTATGCGCCTTTTTGTCTATTATTTAAAAGAAGTCTTTCACTTTGGAATGTAATGGATTCAATATTGGATGACTTCTAACATCAGTGAAAAAATGTATACTGCAAAAAATTATCCTCTCATCCTGAATATGTATTTTTAAAATATTTTGCTAATGTTTTGCTTTATGGTATCATTAGCTAACATCTCATGAAATAATATATAATAAATAATAGTAAAAGATAATGCATATAAAATGATATTTCACATAACGCTTATAAAATTTTTGAAAAAATTTGGCTGACATTGTGACTCCTAATCGTATTAT